ATGCCTAGAAAGACAAGTATTTAGGAACGGAGGGAGTAGTTGGTTTTTTCGGTCCCCGGTTGGTTTTCTTGGCTGCTTGTTCAAGCTTTCGGAGCGGTGGTGTGGTTCTCCTGGGGTTGCAGATATCTTTTCCGTCATATTGCGCGTCGTTATGTCGACGGAAAACGTTGCCCTGTAAAAAACATGTACCGTATGCATCTATCTGTACCAATTGAACATGTTATAGGACGCCCGTTATCAGCCGACGGATGCCGTGGGCCATGTTACGCATTCATCACCGTACGCTGCTTATTTACGTCCGCGTACGAACCATGCTACAGGCTGTCCCCACCATGAGCGACTTGTTCCATTGGTCCACGTACCGGGATCAAACGCGCTCGTCCACGCTATCGCCGCTCTCTTCGTTAATCAGTCTGCACAGTGGTGTAACCCTTTATCCCTCATTTAGCAATATCAAGAGCCATGTGCCTGCTGTTTCTTTCTGTTAGTCCTTGGGAACTTCCTTCTGCATCAGTTCCATGGGTTTCACCATGGGAAAACACTGGTTTTTACCCACACAACTGCAAACCAGACACCACCCAGTGAACAGCATTTGCGACGAAAATCCTTTTTTGAGCCTGGGCTCATCTGCACCCATGTTGAATAAAAAAATCAAAATAAATACTAGAAAAATTCAAAAAAATTCATTTTTTTTCTCATGGTAGACAATTTTGATGTGTGAGTTCCGTCCCAATTTTCAAATCATTTGAACAACTGAGCAACTCGGCAAAAAAGACAAATTCGGGGTCTGTAAAAGAGTTTACTGTTTATGTACTGTTTTGACCCGATTTCTCTTTTTTTGCTGAGAGCTACCCAGATGTCCAAATGAGCTAATATTTGGAGCGAGCTTCACGCGATAAATTGTCTACCATGAGAATTTTTTTTTGGAATTTTTTGATTTTTTCTAGCATTTGTTTTGAATTTTTTTCTGGCCGGGTGCAGATGAGCCTGTGCATCGAATCGCTGCACTTGTTGTCTTATGCATGGTAGCAACAAGGGTATGCTTGGTAGGTAGCCAACTCCAAAAGTTGCCAATTTTTTCCAAGTTTCCCTAGGTTGGCAAAATAACTGGGTACTAACAAATTAAACATTTGGTAGCCAAATTGTTGGCTTGCCAACATATTGGCATACCAATTCTTGGCTACTAACCAAGCATGTCCCAAAATTGCATACTCTAGTATGAAAAACAAACAAAGACTGTATCAACAACAAAATGACGAAGCGACCGGTGGATAGGTTAACAACAAAATGTCAATTCTCACCCGTGCACCTGTGATAGTTTAATGGCCTAGTTTATTTGAGAAGGGCTCCTTTCAGTTTCTTGTTCATAAAGGTCAAATTTCACCTCAAGTTGGTAATGCTTGTATTTCTATTTGTAGAGGGAAGAACGTGTGTGTTACTTGTTGGTAATTAACTAATTATTCAGAAATTATTCAACTTGAGTGAACAGTGCTTGGTCCCAATTAAACTCCAACCGATCACAATTTATAATAAACTGGAGCTTCCCAAAACATCAACCCTTGCATTTCAGTCTTTTTCAAAAAAAAAAAAAAATAAAAAAAAATCTTGCATGTACTAGCAAACATATGGAAAAATACATGCCACGGTTTATCTAGAGCTATAACTATTTATATCATGTGCAAAAATAACAAGAGAAGTGATTTAGCCTTTTTTCCTATTTAGAATATGGAACACAAATGATATCATATTGATGATTCTATTTTTTCGATTATAATCTCCAACAATCCTCAGATGCATGAATGGTTTCAGTTTATTTATTTTGCTTTATTTAGATTTGTTCTTTACTTTTTGGGAGAATTTCCTAGTGTGATTTGGACCTTTGAAGTTTTAGGGGAAAGAAATTAAAATTCATGAAAATCCCACATAAATAAGAACTGGCAAAAATTCATAAAATTAAAACAAAATAATTTGTATATCATACAAAGATGAAATTATTATTCACATTTTTCACGAATCAATAATTTATTATACTTTATGGATATTTGAAGATTATCATCCTTAATCCATAGCATTTCCTTCTACCCTTCGCTTTCTTCACATGTTGTTTTAATAGCCCTAACTGAAGAGAAAGAAAAACATCAAACTGGTTCAAGTTAACTGTCTTTGGAATGTTTGAGTTTAAGTAGAGAGGTATGGGCTTTATTAATTTTTTTTGCAGGAAAAACTTTCAATCTATTCATCTTCAATCATGGTAGTACAACGAGCACTAGAAATAATAAAAATTACATCCAGATTCGTAGACCACCTAGCGACGACTATAAGTAGTGAAGTGAGCCGAAGGCGCGCCGCTGTCATTGCCCCTCCCTCGCTGGAGCCGGACAAACCTTGTTGTAGTAGACAGTCGAGAAGTCGTCGTGCTAAGGATCCATAGAACCAATGCACCAGAACAGCAATCGCCGTAGATGAAGAGGGTAGATCAAAAGTATCCAACCTGAAGACACACGAACGAAGACGAACGACGAACAGATCCGAGCAAATCCACGAAAGACAGATCCGCCGGAGACACACCTTTACACGCCCATCGATGATGCTAGATGCATCACCAAAAAGGGGGCTAGGCGGGGAGACCTTTATTCCATCTTCAGTGAGCCGCCGCCGCCTTGCCTTCCTGAGCAGGACACAAACCCTAACGAAGCTCGAAAAAAGATGTAAAAACGGAGCCTTCCCACCGGCAAGGGCCGAGATCCAGTCCACCTCCATGGCTCTAAGGCCATCGGAGACGGGATGGACCGGCGCCGGCGGGAGGCAGAGAAACCTAGCTTTTGGGAGGTGGCAGATGGCTAGGTTGCGTAGTCGTCGCTTCCTTCTTTTTCTGATATGGGCTTCATTTATGTGACTAGGAACTTATGATCTCCTTAAAAATACACTATTCCTTCTAAGGTAATCCTTAAATGCAGTAAATAAATAAACACGAAAATAAATAAAGGATGATGCTAGGCGCCGGCGCACCGGTCTAACTTTTCGGCCGGTCAGCCCGTGGCCGTTTGATTAGCACAAGCACAACCGTCAGATCTGGAACTGTCCCCGTCCTCGCCTCATCTTCAACCTCCTGCATGAGGAAAAAGGAGAGGTAAGAGAGCGCCGCCCCCGCACGCGCCGACCGCCTCGCCTCCTCGTCTTCCCTCACCACCGGTCGCCGCCCTCGCTGTCGCTACCGGATCGTGCCACCGCTGGTACCGTCCTCCTCGTCACCGCACGCAGAAACGTCCGCATAGCTCGTTGTCGTGCCGGTTGCAGCAAAAAAAAGGCCCACGCCGCCGATGGTAGTATCTGTCGTTCTCGCTGGTTGATGCAAATAAACAGGGCGCTGCCTCTGCCGTCACAACTCAGCCGTTTGCCGATGGTAGCAAAAAAAGCTGCCGGTTGTAGCATTCGGGTGGCTGCTTGTAGCAAAAAATCTTCCAGCAAAAATAGGGTGATGTTCTATCAAAAACCAAAACAACGGTGGTAGCAAAAATCGAAACGGGTTCCAGCAAACCAAAACTCCATTGGTAGCAAAAATGCAAAATTGGGAGTTCTTCCAACAAAGCAAAAAACGGTGGTTGTAGCAAAAATTAGTGCTGCTTCCAGCAAACCAAAACGCCATTGGTAGCAAAAATGCAAAATTGGGTGTTCTTCTAGCAAAGCAAAAAAGGATGGTTGTAGCAAAAAAATGGAGCCGCTTCCAGCAAAGCAAAATGCCACTGATAGCAAAAATGCAAAATTGGGTGTTCTGCCAGCAAAAGCAAAAGACAATGGTTGTAGCAAAAAATGGGGCTGCTTCCAGCAAATCAAAATGCCGGTTGTAGCAACTGGTACGAGGGTAGCGCCGGCTAGCCGGAGTGAAACCAGGGGTGGGGGTAGGCTCCTAGCACGCTGGATGTAGGGGAGCTGAGCACGCCGCCGGCCGCAACACCAGCGCATTGCCGCAGCTAAGCACCGCCGCAGCTCCAGTGCGCCGTCGATTGCTGCTCCAGCACGCCGTTGGTTGCAGCTCCAGCGCATCACCACGGCTCCGCACTTCCTGGATGTGGTGGTGGAGAAAAGAAACGAAGAGAGAGAAGGCAGGGAGAGTTGAGCGGTGGAAAAGATGCAAGGGGATGGGAACGAGAAGATAAGGTCACTGCCGCTTTTCTTATGGGGCCCGCACGAGGACACGTTTAACGTAGCCACGGATGGTTGCGTGTCGCACTGGTCAGTTCGATCAAATCAGATCCAACGACGCACGTGTGTCCGGCGCCGCGTTCGGCCGGTGCACCGAGTGGAAAGGTTTCCCATAAGGAAGAGGGAGCATGTGGGGCCGAGAGGGCACGTGGGCCGCATGATTGCTTTCGATCGTACGTGACCGGCCGAACGTTCCGCCGGCGCGCAGCAGGGAAACGTTTCCCATAAATAAAACATACTTGAGTGGCCTTAACGAGCAATGGGCCAGTTCAGTTAAGGCCCAGTTATAACCAGCTGCTACAACAAGTGGAGTGGACTCGTGTCGTCGCTCCAGTCCTCTTGTCTGGCTGTGACCTGGTCGGGCCGCCGCCTCCTCTCCACCTCCTCACACTCCGCCACCTCCGCACCGCTCCACCCCGCCGCTCCGACGACCATCGACGAGGCGAGGAGGCGATCGTTGCCCGCATTCCTCACCGGAGACCCCCGGCGGCGCCATCGGACCCGGAGCCCGCGCCATCCTGACCAGGCACCGCCCGCCGCCTCCCCCTCCGGCCCCGTCCACGCTCGCGGCCGTCGCATCATCGCACGTGAGCACGCTCTCTCCCCGGCTTCCTCCCTTCTCTCTCTCGTGGCTAGGGTTTCGCTCCGGAACGGGGATGCCGCCGATTTCGCGGGACGTGTGTCCGCTCCGTCCGTACGTCGGCCGCCCTAAAATTGAATGCTTTTTTCTGGTTCGCAGGGAGGGAGCTGTCTAGGACTTGGCCGGGTGCTTCCGCTCTCCAGGCAGTTCAGGAACAATGGCGGTGGTAAAGCCCTCATCTCCTCTCCTCTCCTCGATTCCGATTCTTTGTCGTCACAGCCGAGAAGAGACCGAGTACACTTAGCTGGTTTCCTTTTCTTCATGTTGTTAGATCAGATGTGCTGCAATCTTGCTGTAGGCAATGCAATTTCCTCTGCAATCTGGAGACTTTGGTTTCTGTAATGTTTTTTTTTTAGGATTTGCAAAATGTGATCTTGGACAACGGCAGCAAATTCATTCTTGAATGCGGCCACATGGCGAGGTTTCCATGTCTAGTGGTGGCTAGCACTTAGCAGTCTTTAATTTGGAACCGCTAGTGATGATTCATGCTATGGTTGCGATTGCATGTGATTAACCGTGCACGGGGTTTTGACATCTGTGGGACGACGTAAATGTTCGGTTGGATCGTAAAAGGTGCCAGTTTTCTTTCTGTTTAAACGCGTTCTAGACCTTATACTAATTGAAAGTGGCTGTGCTAGTTTCTTGTCTGAGGCTTCACTTGCGATGTCGCATGTCTGTTGTCGGCTTGTGGCTCGGTGTGTTATGCCCTTGCATTATTTCTCTTCTCCATTGCTGGTGGTTTGCTTTCGCTGTTATTCTGTGCGTTTGAGTTGTGTTGTCACTCATGTTACAGATAGTGGACTTGGTTAGCGATGATGATGTGTTCGAATTGGACGAGGGCAATGATGGTCAGGTTGGGGTCTCGTCTTATCCAGCCCGGAGAAACGCGGATGCTCCTGGCCCGTCCAGGCTGGTGAGGCAGGTAAGTGATAGAAGTGGGTGTCTTTAAGCACAAGTGCACAAGAGCTAGTCATTGCTCGTATACGGTTATTATGTTGTTATGACTTTGATCTTAGTCTGATGTTTGTTACTGATCTGAAGGACGCTGATGGGATGGCCAACGGGGCAACTCCTTCTGCCTCGTTAGTTGGGATGTATGTAGAAATGGGTTTCCCGAAAGAGATGGTATTGAAGGCCATCAAAGAGATTGGTAATACAAGTAGTAGTCAGTTCCATTTGATCATTTCATTCGTGTTGTTGATGTTTTGCACCTTCAGTTTTTAACCTTTTGTTTTGCTTTCAGGGAAGAGGGACGAAAGTGCAGTGCTGTCACTACTTCTTGCATATACGGTATTTGTTGATGTGCTCCCATATCTGAGTTGACCTCTTGCTTCATGGCGGGAAGGACAGTATGTTAAGATTGGTCATGTGAAATGCAGGAAGATGACGACTCAGTGGGTAGCTGCTCTACTTCTCGCCGCATCCCCCAGCGTGTTGAAGATGATGATGATGATGATGAAGAAGAAGATGATGATTTTGATTTTGAAGACTGGGATGATGATGTTGATGCTGGCCAAAGGGATCCTCACTCTGATGGTTCTGGTGATGAGGTACATACTTACTTATCTTCAGCTTGGTAATAGAATTTCTTTGATTATGTGGATTGTGATATATATGTACTCCCTCTGTAAACAAATATAAGATTGTTTAGATCACTATTTTAGTGATCTAAATGCTCTTATATTTCTTTACGGAGGAAGTACATGTGAAACATTGTTGATCTGTTTATTAGCTGGTATGATCTAACGTATGAGACCATGAGTTGTTTCCATCGAGTATGTTGAAATGTGTCTAGAGGGATGGAAAATTACTAGCTACATAAGCATTAATCACTTTCATGATTTATGGGTTATCTAGATATGTTTTCACTTATTTAGGACGCTGCAAACACATTTATGGCTGCTCTAGGTAGCTGTGTCAAGTAAGCCGATGAAGTACTGGACTGAGTTCATGCACACAAGAATAACTCTTGTATTATACATCTCAAACGGCATTGCAGGACATCAAATCGAGCTCTTAAATATTAATTTTGTGAACCCCCCATCTCCTTTCTTCAGGTCTTGTGCATCATGTTGTACAATTACATTCACTACTAGTATGTAGTTACTAGTTACTTAGTTGGCATCAAAATGGGTGGTGAGATGTAGAAAGTGCTTTCTAACCTCTGTTTTGCTGTTCTTTTGTGCAGGAGTTCCTACAAGAGATGTCACAGTTGGACAAGCAAATCAAGTCCTTAGTGGACATGGGATTTCCTGAAGATGAAGCAAACAGAGCTCTTAGAAGATGTGGTATGGCTCTCCTTTTGTAGTTGTTGGCTTGATGATTAGGCTTTGTTGATCATACTTTAATGGGATGGTACCTTATGCTTTATATTTTGTTCAAACTTGGCCAGGTCTGGATACCCCTATGCATGTACTGGTTGATTCTATCTATGCATCACAGCATGACCCTGAGGTACATTGCAGTTTGCTATACATGTGAATAATAATGGTTTCGTTGTTAATTTCGATGCATTGACACTGGAATTCGTTTGCAGGTTATGGATGAGAATCGCTTCAGTTCCTGTGTGGGGAGAAAGAAAGCAAGGTTCACAGAAGATAGCAAGAAGAGGAAAAGATACGGAGGTGGAGCACATGGAAGTCAACCCCCATGGGATGGTGGTCATGAAGAGTCAATTTCTCTGCCAAAGCCAATGGTGGGATTTGGCCTACCTGGTGACCGACCACGGTCAGTGGGCAGATGGCTTCCTGCACATAGTATGAGAGCACCTTTCTTCTATTATGAGAATGTGGCACTTGCTACTAAAGGTGCCTGGGCAGAAATTTCAAGATCCCTATATGGTATTGAGCCAGAGTTCGTAGACTCGAAGTACTTCTGCGCAGCGTTAAGGAAACGGGGTTACATCCATAACCTCCCAACTGAGGGAAGGTCAGTTTTGCGTCCCATCCCTCCGAAGACCATTTTCGAGGCCTTCCCCCAGTACGAGACGTGGTGGCCCTCGTGGGACCAAAGAAGGCAGCTCAATTGCCTACAAACTTGTATGGCAAGCGCAAAGCTGACTGAACGGATCCACCGTGCTCTTGCAAACTCGACCGATCCACCAACTCAAGCTGTTCAGAAACGTGTGCTGGAAGAGTGCAGGAAGTGGAATTTGGTATGGATCGGGAAAAACAAAGTTGCTGCATTGGATTATCTGGAAATGGAGTTTCTGCTTGGTTATCCAAGGGACCATACCAGGGGAGCCAGCAAGAAAAAGAGAGACAAATGCCTTGGAAATTCATTCCAAGTCGATACTGTTGCTTTTCATCTGTCAGTGCTGAAGGATAGGTTTCCATGTGGTATGAACGTGCTGTCCCTATTCAGTGGTATCGGAGGAGCAGAGGTTGCCCTTCACAAGCTTGGCATACGGATGAAGACCGTGGTTTCTGTGGAAATCTGCGAAGCGAGTAGGAACATCTTGAGAACTTGGTGGGATCAGACTCAGGATGGCACTCTGATAGAGTTTCGTGATGTGCAGTCTCTCACGCATGAAAAAATCGCATCACTTATCAGACAACTTGGTGGCTTTGACTTGGTGATCGGGGGAAGCCCATGTAACAACCTTGCCGGCAGCAACCGGCACCACCGTGTTGGCTTGGAGGGCGACCAGTCTGTGTTGTTTCGTGACTATGTTAGAATCTTGAACTCTATCAAGTCGATTATGGCGAATGTAGGATGATGATTGCATTCCATGTTCTTCTAGTCCTTATCCTTAGAAACCCTACTTCATTTAGGTTTGGAACATCAAGTAACTGTGGTGAAAGTTTATTTTGTAGACAGACCGGATAAACTTGGAGCTCTGTGTTTGATGCTTATAACTATTTTATTACCTGCTGGCCTTCATTTGGGAGAAGTTCAATTTTTGCTGACAGAGAAGAAACTTGTTTTGATCTTTGTGAATACTGAATTTATTGCTTTCCGATTCATTGTGTTTTCATTCTACACTTGTGGGTGGTTATGGTAGGGTTGGCAATGTTGCTCTGCTCCTTTGCAGAGCCTGGGAGAGCAGGGGGAAGGGCTGGCAATCTGCTGCAAAGTCAAAGTGCGCATGGAAAGGTACATCTCAGAGCTTTAGGGAAAGGACTCATGTGCTGCAGATAGAGTTTCTTCCCTTTGCAGAAATAGAGGCTAGCTACTGCATTACCTGGAAAAAATTTATGTGCTGGGAAATTGGAGAGTGTAGCTCTGTATTTTAGTGTTTCTTCCCTTGGTTAAAGTCCATTTCTTGCATTTGTTCTCCTTCCTGTGGCTTTGATTTGTTTAATCAGCTGAGATGCGTTCGAAATGTTGTGTTGATAATCTTAATACGTTCAGTTTCCACCAAACAAGCTTTCGTGGAAGACATGTTACTAGATATTTTTATGTGCACGTTCATGCTTAGGTGCAGATTTTGGTGCTATTTTCTTACCATTTATGTATTCTAAGGTAAGTTCATGTCTGCTTACTAGTCTGTTCTTGTTGATGGCCCAGTAACCTACCATCGCTTATACTTCGATGCTGGAATTCGGTCAAGCAAGCACCCAGTGACTGGACTGGCATTGAGAGAAGAGCTGCATAATCTTCAGGTTGCCGGTTTGTCATGTCATTGAAAATCTTAAAATCACCGTGGTTATATGCATACACCTGTCAATCAAATGTGATAGAAGGACAAACGAATACCACTGTATTTCGACAAAGTTAAGCTTTATGACTGGCCAGTTTTCGACAAATAATGTAACCCAGCTAATGGCCAATTGCAGATAAATGTTCAATGTAATTTCATAGGCAAAAACTGAAGCTAAGAAACCGAGGGATTAGCGTATTTGAAAAACTGCAAAGAAAATTGTTTGCTTTATTGGGAATGTAACCCAAGTTAAATAAAACTGATGGCCAGTTTGCGACTGGCTAATGCTGCGTTGCATTACGCTGCCCTGTGAAATATAGCTATTTAAATGGAGTTTTACAAATTTTCCAGTTAATTATTTCTGCTATTGCTGCTCTGAAAGATCCTATCAGTTAGCATTTACATTTTCCTGTGGAACATATCTAGTTATATGGAGTTTAACAAATTCTAGGAGTATAATATTTCTGCTCACAAACATCATATCAATTTGTTGAAGTATCAAAGTAAACATAATCAAAGGTACATACATTTCAAAATCAGCGCAATGCCAAACTCAACTAATAAAGTTTTGGAAAACATGAGCGACCTCGGCCCTCCCTTGTTGATGTTTTTCCGCTTGTCTCTAAAAAGGACTCTAGATTGGATCACGGATACTTTTTGTTGGTCTTTACACTGGAACATCCGACCGCGTATTTTCTGCAAGCCATATGCTCAGTTCTGCTTGCAAGTCATCAACTGCATGGTAAAAGATTAAACAGGCTTCCTTGAAAATGCTGGTCTTTTCTACTTTACCACTTTGCATGGCAATTAATTGATCTGTAAATTCTGTTGACAGCATGGATCGGATAATGGGTACTTCTAATTTATTCGCAGAATCCAGTGGTGATGGGAGTTGTGCTGTGCCAGATCGTGCGAAGGAAGTCTGGATGCGAGCTGTTGTTTTTCTTTCTTTCTGAAGCAGCTTTGCATGTGAAGAAAATTTGGGCAAGTTGGTAGTGCATCTTGAGCATTTTCCTTGAGAATTAACCTTGGAGATATCCTTGTGCACCAGTAAATTCTTGTTCGTTGCTAAGCTAACTCCAATATATGCAATGTAGCAGGGGAATGCACGGTTCATGCTGCAAATCGGCGGCATTCACCCCTGAGGAATGGCCTTTTTTTCTAGCGTAGCAGGAGAAATGGGGATCAGAGGAAGGAGAAGGACCGGTGGCCTGTGATCACTGGAATCCTCCATCCCACCGGGTAAGTCGCAAGTTGCTTTGGGCCGCCATCGCCACGAGCAGCTAGCCTTGACCGGTTCGAGCGAGTTGCGGTGTCGATCGCCCTGTTTGTGCTGTCGCCATTGAACGTGGAGATGCGGCCTGAAGCAGCTGGTTAGTACGCGGTCAGCTGCACGCTTCACGCGCCTGTCGAGCCTAGCACGCTTTTGCTAAAGATTAGGTTGCCAAAATGAAAGTGCAAACTAAAACGGCGCTGATATTTATTCAGGTTGCCTTATGTCGCTCTAGAGATTCGTTCATACTACGGCTGTTCATGTCGATCCAGCTTGAGATTCTCGACACTTTGCCTGGACGAAGTTACCTCCAGGAGAAAGGCAAGGGCGACGGGTGGAGACGAGAAAGAAAGGATCACATGTCGCTCCTCAAAGGCATCATGGAGGGTGCCGAAAGGCTGGAGAATGTGACGAAGATGTGTGCACCATAGCGGGGCGGCGGCATGTGCATATCCCACCCGGCAAGCGAACCAAAGCACCTTGATGGGGATGGCCTCACGCCGTCGTCGATCACTTGCACCTTGATGGCTTCATGGCCTCCGAATCTGGCTACGACACACCCCATACCCTGCCATCTCGCTGAACCCCTTTGCACTGATGCAGCCACCAACAGGATCCGTGCTTTCAATATTGCCATATGACCTCGGTATACTTTAGAGGATCTCCACTCGCCCCTCCACCCCCCAACAGCCCCCCGCCTTTTTTTTCCACCGGTGCCGGAAAAAAAAACCAGTCGCCCCCTAGGACGCCGAATTCCGCCGGTTGGACCCTTTTTTGGCCCGGCGATCGCAGGCCGAACCCAGCGTACTGGGGGGCACTTTGGCTCCGGCGGAAGGAAAAGTGGCGCGTGGGCCGCCACTGTTAGACGAGAAACGACTTTTCCCCCGCCCAGATTCGACCCCGAGCGCTGTAGGACGCCACTCCCCCTTTCGCCGCCGTGCCGATCCCGGCCCACAGCCGCCGCTCCACCGCTAGAAAGGCCATTTCCCCGGCGGAAAGAGAGGGTTTCGCCGCGGCAGCCTTCATCCCGCCCCTGGGCGAGCTTTCTAGCGCTCCGACCACGCATGTCGGGGGATACCGGCGGCTGCGCACCCACCACGCCTGCCAGGTGTTCGGATATTTGCATGTTCGGCGATGGACTTCGACAACGAGGAGGCGTTCGCGGCGCTGTTGAAGGAGGAAGCCGAGGCCGACACCCAGGACGAAGAGCACCTCATGGTCCTCACCGCTCTGGCCGACATGTTTGTGAGCAATGCAAAGCCGCGGCGAGGTGGCTCGGCGCCGGGCTGCCGTAAGAGCAAGCAGAGGCATCGACCGGAGGGCTATTGCTTGCTCTATGCCGACTACTTCGCCGAAGCTCCACTGCACGACGAGAAAGTAATTCGGCGCCGTTATCGGATGAGCCGAAAGCTGTTCCTCAGGATTGTGAATGCCATCCGGGAGTTCGACAACTACTTATTTGCAAGAAGGATTGCACCGGCACAGTTGGATTCTCCTCACTCCAAAAGTGCACGACAACTATGAGGGTGCTTGCATACAGAGCTCCCGGTGATATACTGGAAGACTATGGACGCATGACAGAGTCCAGCACCATTGAGTGTTTGTGCAAGTTTTGCAGGGCAGTGGTGGCAGTGTTTGGACCACAATACTTGCGATCACCCAATGCTAGACACTGCTCGGATCCTAGCACAGAATGCAACAAGAGAATTTCTTAGGATGTTTGGAAGCATCTACTGCATGCATTGGGCATGGAAAAACTGTCCATTTGCTTGGCAGGGGATGTACAAAGGCGCCAAAGGAGCTTGCAGTGTGGTACTTGAGGCAGTGGCCACACATGACCTCTGGATTTGGCACTCCTTCTTTGGTATGCCAGGAACTCACAACGACATCAATGTACTGCAATGATCGAATGTCTTTGCCAAGCTTGTTGAAGCCATGCTGCTTCAGTGAACTTCGAGGTCAATGGGCGCCACTACAACAAGGGATACTACCTAGCAGATGACATCTATCTGAGATGGTCCACATTTATGAAGGCCATCTCAAACCATGTGCCAGGAGGCAAGAACTCCTACTTTGCCAAGTGTCAGGAGGCTTGCAGGAAGGATATCAAGCAGGCATTTGATGTGCTCCAATCTTGATTTGCTGTTGTCTGGTACCCCGCTCTGACCTGGTCGAAAGATCAAATGTGGGAAGTCATGATTGGCTGTGTCATCTTGCACAACATGATCATTGAGAGCGAGCAGGAAGAGCCAGTGTTTGACACTGAACCATACTACATGCAAGGTCCTCTTGCCCAAGTTGATCACCAGCTACCGACATCATGGGTTGCCTTCCTCAATATGCGTCAGGAGATCCGAAACCCGCAGGTGCATCAAGAACTGCAACACAATCTGGTAGAGCACCTATGGAGGCTCAAGGGCAACACCTAGTTCGACGTGTGATGAACTATGAGTTCTAATTTGTGTTTGAATTATGAGTTTGCTTTGTTGAACTATTGATTTGTATTGATTTATGTGATGAACGCCGAATTTGGGTTGAATTTGTATTGATTTATGTGATGAAATATTTGAGTTTTTGTTGAATTTGTGCCGAAGCACGCCGAATTTGGGCCTCATTTGCGCTGAATTTGGCCGAAATCGGCGGTTGGGGGGTGAACTTGGGGTCTCAGCTGGGAACCCGAGCCCCCCTCCACGCCGATTTTACCGCCGGTTGGCCCCCAAGCGGCGCTATTTCAAGCGCCTGGGGGGCTGAACTCCAAACGGACGCCCCTCTTGTCCAATTTTTGTTTGTTTGGGTCGTTCGAAGGGGCCGGTGTCCGACCTCGGTTGTGTTTTCGCTGCAAGGATGCCCAACCGGCCTATCCATTTGGTCCACCTAACCGTTTATTTGCCCAACATTTTACATCCTATGCATACATATACAAATAGTCACATTGTTTTCACGTCATAATAAATAGTTTACAACCAAATAAAAATCTCATAGTTTACAACCAATTGACATTAAAATTGCCACAAATACGAATAAAAAGATCTGATACATCTATTGGTTGTCTAGGTGAACCTACATATGCTTAACCAAATCATTTTAAAGTTGAATGTGAGTTGTACAATCACGCATTTCATGATGACATTGGATGAACTCTGCGAATGTTGCCGGTCCATGCGCATGCTCCACATTTTCACCCTGGTAATCAAACCCTTAGTCGTGGATGCTGTCATCATGCTCATCCTCTACGATCGTGTTGTGCATGGTCACACAAGCAGTCATCACATTCCACATCTTGTGCTGGCTCCATGTTCTGGCAGGGTACTGAACAATAGCCCATCGAGATTGGAGCACACTGAAAGCACACTGCACATCCTTGATGGAGAACGAAGCATGAAAATAAATTTTTTTCCTATGAACACCCAAGATCATGTTGGGTAACGTAGTAATTTCAAAAAATTTCCTACGTACACGCAAGATCATGGTGATGACATAGCAACGAGAGGGGAGAGTGTTGTCCACGTACCCTCGTAGACCGTAAGCGGAAGCATTATGACAACGCGGTTGATGTAGTCGTACGTCTTCACGATCCGATCTATCCAAGCACCGAACGTACGACACCTCCGAGTTCAGCACACGTTCAGCTCGATGACGATCCCCGGGCTCCGATCCAGCAAAGCTTCGGGGATGAGTTCCGTCAGCACGACGGCGTGGTGACGATGATGATGTTCTACCGGCGCAGGGCTTCGGCTAAACTCCGTGACGATATGACCGAGGTGGAATATGGTGGAGGGGGGCACCGCACACGGCTAAGGAACGATCCGTAGATCAACTTGTGTGTTATGGGGTGCCCCCCTGCCCCCGTATATAAAGGAGGGAGGGGGAGGTGCGGCCGGCCCCCTTGGGGTGCGCCTAGAGGAGTCCTACTCCCACCGGGAGTAGGACTCCCCCCTCTTGCCTTGGTGGAGAAGTAAAGGGGGGAGGGGAAAGAGGAAAGGGGGGCGCCGCCCCCCCTTCCTTGTCCTATTCGGACTAGGGGGGGAGGGGGCGTGCGGCCTGCCCTGGCCGGCCCTCCTCTTCTCCCTCATGGCCCACTAAGGCCCATTAACCCCCGGGAGGGTTCCGGTAACCCCCCGGTGTTCCGGTAAAATCCCGATTTCACCCGGAACCTTTCCGATGTCCAAACATAGGCTTCCAATATATCAATCTTTATGTCTCGACCATTTCGAGACTCCTCGTCATGTCCGTGATCACATCCGGGACTCCGAACAAACTTCGGTACATCAAAACTTATAAACTCATAATAAAACTGTCATCGTAACGTTAAGCGTGCGGACCCAACGGGTTCGAGAACTATGTAGACATGACCTAGAACCATTCTTGGTCAATAACCAATAGTGGGACCTGGATGCCCATACTGTTTCGTACATATTCTACGAAGATCTTTATCGGTCAAACCGCATAACAACATACGTTGTTCCCTTTGTCATCGGTATGTTACTTGCCCGAGATTTGATCGTCGGTATCCAATACCTAGTTCAATCTCGTTACCGGCAAGTCTCTTTACTCGTTCTGTAACACATCATCTTATAACTAACTCATTAGTTATGATGCTTGCAAGGCTTAGGTGATGAGTATTACCGAGAGGGCCCAGAGATACCTCTCCGACAATCGGAGTGACAAAACCTAATCTCGATTTATGCCAACCCAACATGTACCTTCGGAAACACCTGTAGAGCACCTTTATAATCACCCAGTTACGTTGTGACATTTGGTAGCACACAAAGTGTTCTTCCGGTAAACGGGAGTTGCACAATCTCATAGTTGCAGGAACTTTGTATAAGTCATGAAGAAAGCAATAGCAATATACCAAACGATCAAGTGCTAGGCTAACGGAATGGGTCATGTCAATCACATCATTATCCTAATGATGTGATCCCATTAATCAAATGACAACACATGTCTATGGTTAGGAAACATAACCATCTTTGATTAATGAGCTAGTCAAGTAGAGGCATACTAGTGACTATATGTTTGTCTATGTATTCACACATGTATTATGTTTCCGGTTAATACAATTCTTAGCATGAATAATAAACATTTATCATGATATGAGGAAATAAATAATAACTTTATTATTGCCTCTAGGGCATATTTCCTTCAGTCTCCCACTTGCACTAGAGTCAATAATCTAGATTACATAGTAATGATTCTAACACCCATGGAGTCTTGGTGCTGATCATGTTTTGCTCATGAGAGAGGCTTAGTCAACGGGTCTGCAACATTCAGATCCGTATGTATCTTGCAAATCTCTATGTCTCCCACTTGGACTTGGTCCCGAATGGAATTGAAGCGTCTCTTGATGTGCTTGGTCCTCTTGTGAAATCTGGATTCCTTTGCCAAGGCAATTGCACCAGTATTGTCACAGAAGATCTTCATTGGTCCC